GAAAGATGGGTGTCAAAGAGACTCTTTATGGAGTTTGCTAGCCATTTGGGCAAGAAATTGCTCTTGCCTGGACTACTTGATGCTATGCAGTATAAACTGGACATGCAGGACCCACAGAGAACAGACTGTTGAAGTGCATAAAAGTAAGACCATCCTTCAGAGTTTCTGCTTCATGAAAGAGTCTGCTAGACATTCTGCTGGACACAGAAGAAAGTAACTGACACACTGCCAATATAGGCAGAACTGTCTTTGATATTTCCTGCTTCATGGAAAAGTCTGCCAGATACTATGGGCCTTTAGGCTGATGATGGATGCTCTAATGACACAGAAGAACACTGAATGACTGTCCAGGCAGCGAGATGTCTCTGTCAATTCTAGAGCTTTGGAAGTTGTCTACAACGCACTGCCTGTTTACTTAGGTAATATTATATCCTACTGGAGTCTTTGATGGACTTAAAGAACAGATAGTTATAGTTATAGTTAGTTATGATAAAAGATAAAGTAGATATAAATATTGTGACTGTAATTCTTGCTTGATAACTGTTTTACATATGTAACTTTACTATGTTAAAGTTAAAACTTTTCTTTTTATTTAAAAACAAAAGGGGAGGCGATGTGGGATTCCCCTCTGTATGCTGCGAATACCATTGGTTAGTAAAGAAACTGGCTTAGGCCTGCGCAGGGCAGGGGAAAATTAAGCTGAATGCTTGGAAGAAGAAGGCAGAGTCAGAGAGAAGCCATGTAGCCCCACCCGAGACTGACACTGTAACTTTACCCAGTAAGCCACAACCATGTGGTGATACACAGATTAATGGAAATGGGCTAGTTTAGGATATAAGAATTATTCAGGAATACACTTAAGCAATTGGCCAAACAGTATTACAAATAATATGATTTCAGTGTGATTATTTCAGGACCGAGCAGCTGGGAACTAACTAGTGACCTCCTACTACACAAGGTTGCAAAATAGATTCTTTTTCCTCCTTTCTGCTTGGTGCTGAAATTCAGTTTGCCAGCTTAGAGTTCAGATTCCATAGTCACCTCTCTCCTCTCATTCTTCTCCCTGTACTCTTGTATGACATCTGAGATTGGCGTAGGTGTTTAATTATGGTCTATGTGACACCAAGAAATGGCCCGATGAGGAGATTCTACAGTTGCTTTCTGACCCAACTTGTCTGTCCTTATGGGTGTTTTAGTTCTAACATGTAGACAGAAGTTTCTTTCCTGCCCAGTCCTGCAGACTTTCAATTTCAATGAAACACAGAGGCTTATATTAATTATAAACTATTTGGCCAATGACTTATGTATATTCCTAGCTAGCTCTTATACCTTAAATTAACCTACTTCTATTAATCTGTATATTGTCACAAAGCTGTGTCTTACTGGTAAGGTTCTGATGTCTTTCTCCTTCGACAACTACATGGTGTTTCTTTGACTTTGCCTGCTCTCTCTCTCTATTTATCTGTTCAGATTTCCTGCCTGGCTTTATTGTGCTAAGCCATTGTCCAAAACAAGTTTATTATCAACCAATAAAAATAGCACATATATATTAAGACATACTACATGACTATCAGCTCTGAGGACCTGCACCTGCTGGTGTTGTACCTCCCTTTGTCTTTAATCATCTGTGTATTACAGACCAAATTTGAGTCATCTCTACCCCTAACTTTCTCCTGGTCCAGTGCACGCTTCTATGTCACTCTTGGATACTAATGTTTAACTGTTTAACTCCCAAGATGCCTTGTCATGTGCTGGAGATTTTGAAATTTAAGGTAGGTGTATCAGTTCACTCCCTGTTTTTCTACTCTATAGAAATGTGTGGTTGAGGGACTTCTCCCAGTTTTATGTAGCCTTATTGAATCAACCCCTGAGTAGCAGGCCTGGTATTTCTTAACTGACCTGCTGATTGAGAACAGAATTAAGTACAGGAGGGTTGGTGAGATGGCTCAATGAGTAAAGATGCTTGCTATCAAGCCTGATGATTTGAGTTTCATACCTGGAACCATACTTGTAGTAAGCAGAAAATTGTTTCCAGTGAGTTGTCCTTGCTCTTCATGCTTGTGCTGTGTGGCACATGTCCTGCTCTATAGGTAGATAGATAGATAGATATAGATGATATGATAGATAGATATAGATGACAGGTGGATAGACAGACAGATAGGTGACGGATAGATAGATAGATAGATAGATAGATAGATAGATAGATAGATAGGTAGATAAATGATAGATAGTTGGATAGATAGAGGGATAGAGAGATGGATGAATAGACAGATAGGCAGACAGACAGATAGATGGATAAATATAAAGACAGATAGACAAATAGATAGATGGATAGACAGATAGATAGATGGATAGATAAAAAGATAGATAGGTGATAGATAGATTATATAGACAGACAGACAGACAGACAGACAGAAAGAGAGAGTGGATAAGTAAATAAGTAAATAGGGTTTTGGGGGGAATTATTGCCAAACTCCTTTTTTCCCTGTATGCACAGACTTGAAACTTTCTTTCTGTGAATTTGTTTGCGTAGTCCCACATTCTTCTCTACTCCTTGTTTCGAATTTTTCGAACTTTGCTTTTTATTAATTAAGCCAAACTTAATAGTCTCCAACTCACCAGAATATTCTCACACAAAAACCAAGCCAACATAAACTATTGTGTCATTCAAGTGCCTAGCTACTGCTGTGAAGACCACTGTGGAAACAAAATCTCAAAATTTGACATTGTTTTCTTATTAATTTGCTTTGTATGTACTCTCCTAGGTATGAAAATGTCAACTACATTTTAGTTTGTTTCAGGTAACTTAATATTGAAATGTAACACACACATGGAGAAGCAGACACACAGAAACAATGAAGGGTACCTAGTTACAAAGGTGAGTGAGCCAATATTCCCACCAAGAAACAAAACATTACCAGTACCCTAGGAACTCAGTAGACGTTTCCCCCCAGACATCACTTTACTTTGAACAGAACCATTTATCTTGCGTCTAGTATGGTAATGCATCCTGTATTGCAACTTACATAAATGAAAGCATAGAGGATACATTTTGTGTTTAGTTTGCTAAGTGTACTATTAAAACTGTGAGAATTATACACATTGCTATTGTACCAGCAATTTGTTCATTTCCACCACTGTATATTGCATTGTGTGTTTATTTCACTGTGTACTTACTTACTTTGTTGTTGATGGATAATTAAGTCATTTCCAATAGGGATTATTGCAAACAATACTCTGTTTATTCTTTGAAATTTGATTTGACATTAAGTGTATACATTCAAGTTTCCACTGGGTAAACTTTTAAGGTAAAACCATCATTTTACTTGTTTAGTCAGTATGCTTTATTTTTATGACATAAAATGCTTTCTGCCTCAATGTCTTGTCTTTCTTTAATGCCTTCTCCATAGTGTCTATGGGATATTGTTTCCAAAAAATCCTACCCAAACCCACTCATTTTATTCTTAAATCACTTCCATTGTATTATTGCTTTGGGAATTAATCTCAAACTACTGCCGTGCACGGTCCACAGAGCCTTCTGTAACTTGGCATCCGCTTTTCTCATGTTTCACCTTTTATTCAAGCTAAACCTTGTTCACTTTTCCCTCAGGCCTCCTTCATACATGGCTTCCTTTCCAGTAAACACCGTTTCTTGCCGTCTTGTGCTCTTCTGCCTTTTAAGATCTCACCATTGCTGTGCCTGATGAAGTCCATATGACTGTTCCAGTCATAGCTTGTCATTGTTGAGATAACACCGAAGTCCGAATTGTCAGATGGAGAGCATCCTGCAAACAGCAGCGTTCGAGTGAAACATGATTTTAGGACATGTGGTGGAACCTCTGAGGGTCTAAGTGATACCTTGTGATAGTATTTATACAGTTGGTACCATTTCCATTCTGGGGTATTACCTTATATTTTCATTAAATAGACAGTTGTAGTGAAATACGTTTTTTTTTTCTGATTGAAATCTTCAGATTTTTTTTATATTTACAAATTTTATTTTTTTATCTCAAAAATACATATAAATGAAAAGCTGCTCTCCAAATGTGACAGGCCTTTGCCTATCATATGGTATTATCTCTATCACAAACACTGTCATATGAAAATCAGCACACAACTCTGAAACACACCATTTACAGGCACACATACTGTAATGAGCTCCTTACTACTTACACAGACTGCAGGTGGGAAGTTCAGAAGCTGGGCTGCCCTTGCTTTCCATCTTTGGGAAGTAAATACAAACCCATGTCAAAGATGGAACCAAGATGTGGAAGCTACACAAGCTCCTTTAGACACACTACACACACACACACACACACACACACACACACACACACACACACACACGCCCTGAGGCCACAGCAAGGCCTTGCTACAAAGTCAACGCCAGGGTGTTTCTCAAAGAGAGGAAAGAGATAACATTTGAATAAAAATGCAAAGCTGAAGAAAAAGAACAGATGATCAAAACAGTTATACTGCTGAGCGGTGGTGGCGCACACCTCGGCTTTAATGCTGGCAGGGGCAGGCGGATCTCTGTGAGTTCCTAGTTCCAGGACAGCTAGGGCTGTTACAGAGAAACCCTGCCTCAAAAAAAAACAAAAAATGGTTATGTTGTTTCCTGGGAAAATCGGGAACCCTCGTAGGACGCAGCTCCACAACCCAGTGCAGGACAGACACCAGCACCCGATGGTAGAAGCCGTGACCTCCCCACACAGTCATGTCTATACAGGCGTCTCAAAGTGTCTGTTTAGCTTAGACAGTCAATAATGAGGCCATGTGGTAAACTGTCACTTCCAAAAAATGAAGCGCAAAATCAACCTCTATGACTCAAGAGCTGATCCAGGTCAAAGCTTTGGTATATGCTGGAGGTTGTTTTGGTGACAACCAAAGCTTACTAAGATTCCCTGCTCTAGGATTTGTTCCCAAAACAAAACTCCTGGTCCACAAAGCTCAACGACATATAAATAAGAAACTGTACAAAAAGAACAAACAAGCCACGATCCCATCCAAGGGCTTAGTTTCCTGTGCAGCAGTTCGGAAGGCACCCACTACAGCCACACACTTTGACCAAAACTCGACATGCTGTAATTGGTGAGACTGTTCTGAAAACAAGCGCCCACAGGCAGGCAGCTGCTGTGTCAAGTTCAACAAAATACGAAGTGAGAGTTCTCATACTGCAACACAAGCTGGGCAGCAACAGAGGAAAGACTTAAGGCAAGAAGAGGCGCTGGAGAGTCAAGCCCACGGCCTCCAGCAGGAACAGTTTCTAATAGTGGGGGTGCTTCTCAGTTGCTAGCTGTCAGACACCATTTCCTCCTCGTCGTCATCCTCATCTTCCTTCCTGTCTAGTTCAGAGGTGTCTGAAGACTCATGGAGCAAGACATATTCTCTGCTACTGAACCCAAATTTAAGGACATCTTTTTCTTTCAGTTCGTAGTATCTCTGTGGCTCAATACGCTTGTTGTTCAAGAAGGTTCCATTGCCTGAGCCGAGGTCAATGATGTAGGGTTTCACCCTCTGACCAACTGTGCCATCAGCAAGCGTGTACTCCATAAGCCGGTACTGGAAGACTGCATGCTGCTTGGAGCAAGAGGGATGGTCGATGGGAATGTCGGCGATGCGGCGATGTCTACCCAGAAGGTAAGCACTCTGCTGATGGATGTACATGACTGGAAGTACCTCATCATTTTTAAAGGGGTAGAGACGCCACCGTTTTTTGGGGATCCGGGCTTCTGGGGGCTCACTGTACTTAATAACCACACCCCGGAAGGTATTGGTGTCCTCAAGAAGTGCCCCAGAAAGTTCAAAGCTTGGTTTTTCTTTAACAGGCACCTCTTTGCTCCTGTTACCGGCAGGGCGAGGGATCACCTCCTGAGCCTCATTGCCAGCACCTTCATTCTGCTGGCGATGCTCCCGGCGCCTGGCATTATGAAAGTCCCTCTCTTCTTCCTGGGCCTGCAGAATCTGGCTGTCTCGGTCCCGACCCTGCCCACTGACAGGCCTCTCACCAGAGCTCCTCCTTTGGCGGGAATGGCCCCGGTACGGGTCTCGCTCACTGTTAGGAGCTCTCCTTTGTTCCTATTCCGATGGCTCCCGGTGCTGCCGATCCTCTCGTCCTCTCCGTGGATGGTCCTCGCGTTCCTGCTTCACTTTAACCGTGGCGTGGTGGGGACTCCGGCTTCTCTTAGTCCGTGGAGACTTGCTTCTTCTCCCTGAGGACTTGTTTTTCTTTTTGGCTGGGGACCGGCTCGCTCCCCGGCATCGACTCCCGCGGTGGCCGCCGCGGCCTGGCTCAGCGGCGGGCGGGGACGGGTTAGCGGCTGGGGCGTCGGGTCTGCGGTGCGCGACAGGTTCGGGGCTCAGACGCTCCTGTTTCACCACTACGGTCGCCAGCGCGTCGTCCGTCCGTTGTCGCTGTCGGCCGCTTCGCTCCCGTTCGCTCTTCCCCTCCTTCATCCAGCGGCCCGGCCGAGAGCCACTTGCACGGTCCGTTGAGCCACTCGAGCCAAAGGAAGTGCAAATCTTCAGATTTTTATAACGGCGAATCAATCCCACACCAGTTATGTTTTAAGGGGTTATTTATTTTGGGGGGTAAAACTTACATACTCCATAAACCGTCAGGAAGGGAGCCTAGTCGCTGGAGCAGGAGCCGGGACCAAGAGGCCCGAGCAGAGCTCTGTGGCTCTTTTTAAAAGAGAAATATACCACGCCCCAGTGGGCTGGTATTTCAGCGGCTATTGGCTGACGGAGCAGCACCGTGGGCTCGTACTTCAGCGACTATTGGCTGAAGCAGCGGAAGATACTCCCGCAGCATTTTTAATAATAAACCACCTGGAAAAATCAAACAACACATCACCAAGAAGAGTTCTCCCAGAGAAAATGCCAAAGGGTAATTGATTATTGTATTTTCACGATGGTTGATAGTGTCACCTCTTCTCAGGGGTTTGCTTATGAGATTTTCCTCCTCTTCTGGGAGTCCATTATCTGCAGACCTCCCGATAATCCCTCCCTTCCTCACCATCTCACGTAAGCAAGGCTGGCTATCTTAACCCTGCTGTCCCTTCTGTGTTTCTGGAGTTTCCCATCTCCTATGTTAGTTATCCTCAATACTATGAATCCCATGAAAATGTTGTTTGTATACGATTTCCTTATGACTGTAGACCTAGGCTAGCACCTAGTTTGTGATGCTTTAAAGAACAACAATGTGTGTGAACTGCTGAGCTGCTCAATCCTGTCTGTTCCCTTAAACTAATGTCATTCGGTTTGCTCAGTTTGTGCGGACACGTTGCTTTGAGAAGGAAGTTGAGAGCTAGCTAACCCTGATGGATGAATTCTAGCATAGCATAAAGAAAAAGATTCATAGGCTTCTTGTACAAATCTTATCATAACAATTAGATTTCATGCTCGCGTCAAATCTAAGGCATAATGTATGTCTTTGCCCTTTCCAGAGATGTTTCATTATAGTCTCCGGCACACTTATGCTGCGTTTCTTTCCCTGTTTCATTACTCTGGTTTCTGTCAGTCACTCCATGTTCTTATTTTGTACCCACATTTGCTTATGGTTTGTAGTTCTCTCATATTAAAATAATTGTTTTTGTTCATTAGCTTTTGGCACTTCACAGAAAAAATTTAAAAGAGATTGAAACACTAAGCTTCTTGTTACAGCAATAATTAGAAGTTCAGTGGCAGCTTTGTACTCCAAGACTGAACTCCAGTTACCCAGGAGGTGGACTGATAAGATTATAATTAAAGACTGCTAACCCTGATAAGATTATAGGCACTGGAAGTTTCAAAAGTTTGCCAAAGCAGCTCAGACGAGAAGAGATGTATTCTCTCCTACTGATGTTTCAAACAGTACTTCACAGAAACACAGTTCTTGGAATCAATGGCAACTAAGTCAGTGTGAGAGCTCATATTTTCCCCAAAACTAAATCACTATTCCTCAAGAGAATACGGGATGTTCTACCACCACGTGGCTTATTTTGATTGAGATTTGCCTGTATTTCTTGAGCTATGGATGGATAGTGCTAATCTTTCTCTGCTGCATGCATTGTATTCTAAATGATGCTAAATCTTTGTTCAGTTGTGTGTATAATCTCATTTGATTTTCACCAAATATGAATATGCCGTTCATGTAATCAGTTGACCTCTATATTCAATTGTCTAGTTTTATTAGTAGCAACTAGCAACTAAAGGAGTGTTATTTAGTATTTAGAATGTAGTTTTAATTATAAATGCAATATAGATACTGAAATTATATGGAAATGACGTGGTCATATAGATGCTTTAGAACAAACTATTAACTTTATATAATTATCATGATACTATCATAATAATTAAAAATTTTTACAAAGCAAAGCCAGGTCTTTGATGCTGTTTTTGGATTCTCAGGTAGTGACATCTACTGGTTTGAGAAATATTAGTTTACTCTTCTAATGCTTACACCAGTGACTCTCAAAGTCTGACCCCGAATAAAAGCATCTATGTGACTGGAGGACATAGAAGTACAATTCCTGAGCTGTGGGTATAACTCAGTGGTAGAGAACGTAGCATGAATGATGTCTTGGGTTCTATCCTAAGCATTAACAGAAAATAAATTCCTCAGCTGTACTATCAGTTGATTGAACCCAGAACTTCAGAAATAGAGCTCAGCTTTTGCTTCAGTTTCTACATATTTTGAATATACCTGGAAAGAGTGTCTTAAGCTATTGAGAATGTTTCTTTTTAGTTGTTTCCTAGAATTTTCATATGAATTAGTGTTTATAGCATAAATCATTAAAATATTTTTAAACTATCAACCATATAGTAAGGAAAACCTCTTATAAACAATTCTTTAAAGAGGGGATGAGGAAGATCAGATTCGGGCTACTCAAAGCCTGGAGTGTAGGCTCTGTGAATCGTCCCCCTAATTTACCTATGACGATCAATTGATTCAGAAGACAGTGGATGCAAAACCACAGATAGCATGTCCTCAAAAAACAACATGGAAGCAGGATCAGGGGTTAATGATCAGTATTTATGAACAAAGCAAGCCTGAATTCTGAACCAGTTGGAGACAATAAGTTGGTTCTTTTCTGTTGCCATGGAGACTTATTTGGACTAGATAAGACCTGTGATTGTGAGAGGGCAAATTGCTAGTACTCTTAAAATTTCAGTGTCCTGATAATTACGGTTTTGAGTGCTATGTTGAGGGTTATTTTCTGACATTGTATTGAAGAATATACCAGAATCTAAAGACTGCAGCCATCTGGCTCTCCCCTAATCATTTGGGGGTCAGAATAAGTTTAATTTCTCAAGGGAGGTTTGCCTGCCTTTATAAGGACACAGAAAAGATTTCTCTTTTTGTGTTTCAGAGCATCCTGAACTCATTCCATCATACATTCTTCTTCACCTAACATAACATGAGGACTCTGAGAGTTCATGTCTTATAAATTTACAAAGTACTATTTTGAAAAAGTTCAAAACTCCTCATGAGATTTTCAAGAAAGGTCCAAGAAGCCTTCCTGTAGATGACTAACAGTCTAACTATGTGGTAAATTACTACATGGATCAGAAGGGAAGGAGGAAAGGTTTTTTAAGGCTCTGTAATCTTTCTTATGTCATCTCCATCCCACAAAGAGACATAAAGCATATTCTCCACCAATACAAATGGTGTATGGTCATATAATGTTTCTGCCTAGACAAGCCTACTAGAGAAGATGTCCATGGCTATTGATGGAGGTTGGCCAAATTGCATCTTCTGCAGAGAAAGTGACAGAATCCAACACTCTCAGATGGAAATCTGATACCCAGCTTAAACTCTATAACTGTATTCTGGTCACACTCTATCAGTTAAATGTTTGCTAAGAACAGCAAAAGAGTCAAATTCATATTTGCCAGGCATGGCTGACTTTGCAAGCAGGCTTTTCTTTCTAAGGATTACAGTGTTGAGACAGGACCACACCTACCACCATCCTTATTCTTTCTCTAGAAAGTTGAGTTCTGAAAAATCTTGAGGAAGTTATTGGTAAGTGAATTTCCTATGGCAAATCTGATAGACCAGTACTGTCCTAGAGACTTTAGCTTGATCATGCTTGTGTGCACATGTTTGCACGCATGTGCGTGCGCGCACACACGCACACACACACACACACACAAGTGAGAAAGATAGAGAGAACTTTAAAAAGATAGGAGTTACTTTGTGGAGATATTTTATTTGTTCTTTAATAAATAAAGCTTGCCTGAAGATCAGAGTGGGAGCTAGCCACACTAGTAAGTCACAGAGGCCAGGCAGTTGTGGCACACACCTTCAATCCCATCACTTGGGAGACAGAGGCAGATGAATCTCTGTGATTTCAAGGCTACCCTGGGCTACCTGAGAGAGATTGAATCAGTCTAAAAGAGAAACAGAACCAAGCAGTGATGGCTCACACCTTTAATCCCAGCACTGGGGAGGTGGAGACAGGAAGTGTTATGGCTGGGAGGAGAGAGGAATATAAGGTGGGAGGAGATAGGAGCTCGAATTCAGTCTGAGGTTTTGTAGAGACAGCATTCAGTCTGAAGACTTGTAGAGATAGGATACCACATTCAATCTGAGGATTTCCTAGAGGTAAGAATTAGTGGTTAGCTGCTCTGAACTCTGGGCTTTCAGTTCTCATGCCTTAATATCTGACTCTGGGTTTTTATTATTAAGACCAATTAGAAATCATGCCGAAGTTACTAAGCACATGAAGCTCTGCAAATGTGTTATTTGATTGAAGGCTTGGGTTACTGACTCGTTGAAGCTGCTTCAAGCCTCACAGTGTCCCTTAATTTGGTCCTAGTGGGAGTGGATGTGCAAAGACTAGGGTGCAAGTTATATGCCCTGCCAATACATTTTAAATTAGGGACACCAAATTGCTTCCTCTTTCCTTTTCCACCAAAACCACCACCCACTTCTTCCTAGAAGTATAGCCTTCAAATTCACTTTCCCACACAGGCTGAGGCCTGATCCAGACTCTGAGTCCAGACATCCCCTTCTGCTGGAAGCACAGAGGTCCTTGTGCTCACAGTTAAGCACCAGAGAAACCAGGAATGTTGAATGTTCCCGGTTGTCTCTTTAGGGGTAGTTATATAACCTGTTTTCTGCCCAGAAGTTTGAGAGTAGAGGTGATTAATAGCCTAGCTGACCTCTGAGCTTTCAGTAGGGCCAGACTACATCTGGCTCTTCCAGACTTTTACAAACAAGGCCAGAGATGGTTAGTAGCCTAGGTGACCGCTGTGCTATCTGTATGACTGAGACCACGTTAGACCCTTCTCTAGGACAACAAGTATGCACAAAACACATCTGGCCTTCTTGATTTCTAAAAGAAAAAAAAAAGGCTTATTTTATTTTTAGGTGTGTGTGTTTGGGTTTGTGCAAGTGAGTGTCATTGTCTTTGGAGGCCAGAGGGGTCAGATCCCACAGATCTGTTGACAGTGTGCCTCCCCGCTGTGTG